ACACACACACACACACACACACACACACACACACACACACACAGAGGCCTGTTCAAACCTACCATCTGTACACAAACACAGTTCTTATCACCTGGGAACAAATGTTTGTAAAGCGCTCCTCGGGGTGAAGATTTTCACGCAGGCTGCAACAGTTACAAGATGTTTTTTTGTTGTTGTTGTTGTTGTTGCCACATCAGATTAATGACGGTGTTCAGGCTTTAATCTGCTGTTGYTGTTGGTGCCAGACGTTCAGCAGGTGAAATGTCAAACCTGTGGAGCTGCTGCTGAACTTAATCTGTACGGTACGGCGTGGGCAGGGAGCCGGGAACGCACTTTTCACACGCTGTGACGGGCTCAGCTTTCTGCTCACAAACTGYGACGAAGGATTTGATTGTTTTCTTTGTCTTAGCTGGATGAGACGTTTACAGATAAACACGTCATGTTTGACTTTTTATCGTTCTGTCACTGGATTAAAAACTCCTGTTTACAAAACATTTTAAACCAGAGGAACACCTCCACCTCTTACTTAACCGTTACTTTTTGAACTGGACAAACTTTATGTCAAACAAAACGAATCACAGAGCATCACTTCTAGTGTTTATATTTAAACATATATCACAACTGCAGCTTAAAGAACGTCCCTTTTAATCAAAAGGGACAAACGAAGCAGCCCAGTGGTCTGATGTGTCACAGCCTGATACATATTGAATCCCCGGGGGAAATGCATTTCAACCATTTGTCATGTCATTTTTTATTAAGCTGCTATTTTTATTGTCCGAGGTGTTGAATAAGATCATCATTACACAGCATGCTAACGCTACTTCAARACGAGTCATCCAGCAGAGACGTGTTCAGATCAGCAGCTCTGTGGTTTCAAACGTCTCCAAAACAATAAATGCATCTAATTAAAAATAGAATTAACTGATGACTTTCATTTAGTAGATTTATTTCTGATGCATACCTGTGGACCCCTTTGGATGTCTGCCCGTACTGACCTTTAGGARTCTGTAAAATTCTCAAATAACCTCTGTTACATGACAAACTTTATACATATACAACTGAAATATACACAGCCCTGTCCAGAAAACACCTCACTATCAAGATAAGATAAGAATAAGAATTTATAGCTTTAGGTAAATAAAGTCAAAGATTATTGCCGTTTTGAGATTCAGGAATAAAAAGAGATCCCACAGTTAGGGATGGGAATAGATAAGACTTTAGCTTTTCTGATTCCAGTGTCGATGTTGCTTAACGATTCAATTCCTTATCTGTTCTGTTCAATTTTCAAAAGTCTTTAATCAGTCTTAATCAGAAAAATAGCAATATAAGAAGAAACACAAAATGTCTGCATGTTGGAAGTGTTTCCACCCTTCATGTGACTGAAGCTTTGTGTTGTAACGGGCCCTAGTTTTGTCTTTTTTTGTGAAATATAACCATGCCCTACAACTCTTCCTCCTTGGACATCAAAAACAGAGCATGTTGTCATCATGCATATGCGTTCCCATGAGTAAGTGGAACCGATCAGCAGAATTGTTAAGCAAGAAACTTCATTCCAAATTTGAACAATTAAGAACCGGTTCTCGATTCCCATCCCTGCCCACAGCTAAACATGACAAAAACACTTGTTTTCTTACGTGTTCAAACATATTGACATTATAAGCGTTTTAAAAAATGTGCAGAATGCGACTTGGGAATCATTTCCAATAACAGTTCAGAATTTGGGCTCACCCAAAAGTGGGCGGGGCCCTGCATAGGGAAGCAGCGAGGTGAGCAGCCCCCTGCTGGCTGAGCATTTCACAGCACCCTAAATCTCTCAGATTTGACCCGAAACAGGAGAGGTTCTGCTCAGTGATCTGGGATGTTAAACAGTGACAGCTCTGCTCTGTGTGTTTGGATGTTAATGTGCAGCAGCAAGTCAACACAACTCGGTCACTTTGTGTGCAAACAACTTCAGACTTTGGACAAAGGAGTGGTCACACTCCCTCACGCTCCTTTGATTGTGAGAAACCAATTGTAGGTCACACCATATCTATAACCTACTGACGGTAAATGAGGACGCTAACGTCCTGTGACAAGTTCAGATTTGTAAAAACAGACGGATTGTTGCGTAGGTGTTGATAAGCCGAGTCACAAAAACACATCGGCACAAGGAAATTCACACTATCATGTGTCACTCAGGTGTGCTCTCTGTTTCCACACTTGGTGGGTATTTTCACAAGTCCTTCATGAAGCAA